AAAATTTTGTAATTTTCTCGCCTCTTTCCGGGAATCTGTTTTCTCGGGAAAAAAAAAGAAAGAAGCATAGGATTACATCTATTCACTGTTCAGAAAATCTTCGTTCAGGTTTTTTTTTGTTCTTCTTCGATCTGATTGTTTACCGGGACTACGAGAATCTGATCGGTGAATCTAATTACTTTATGCTTTGCTTGTTCAATTTCGGGCAGGAACTGTGAAATTATCCGAAGCTTATCATATCTTGTTACATGGCTGCTTCGGTACTTAACTACTTCTTTGACAAACAGATTGATTAATAGTGAAGCTTAGCGAATTTCGTTGTGTATGAAAGTATTTTCTTTAGAATGAACTTAAAGTAACGTGTTTTGATGGCTTTCTTGTTGCTATTTCGTTGTCAAATTTACTTCAGGATCGAAGTGAGGAGATAAGTAGCAATGTAGAAAATGGAAGTTGCAATTCCAATGAAGGAACAAATCCAGAAACCAGTAGTAATTGGATTGAAAACGTTGTGAAGGTATTTAACTTGAGAAGAAAAATTTCATCAATTCCATTTTGTCTGACCTCTCTGTGCATTGTTCTTGAAGGTTAGGAAACCTTACAGAGTAACTAAGCAGAGAGAAAAGTGGAGTGAGGAAGAGCATGAGAGGTTCCTTGAAGCTATAAAGCTTTATGGTCGTGGTTGGCGTCAAATTGAAGGTATTAAATTCATGGACTAAAGCTTGAGTTTGCTTTGGTACAAATCAGGCTTTTAGCTAGATGTAGTTCTAAAGAACTTGAGTCTTGATTTTGTTGCAGAACACGTAGGTACGAAAACCGCTGTTCAGATTCGGAGCCATGCTCAAAAGTTCTTCTCGAAGGTCTTGTGTGCTTGGATGTTCTGAAACACCAGTGTTGCTGATATAATTAGTTTGTAAATCTGAAATTATGTTGTCTGATCCATTGTAGATGGCTCGGGAAGTTGACTATAGTAACGATGGCTCCTCGATCAAAGCGATTGTGATCCCGCCTCCTCGTCCAAAGAGAAAACCGGCACATCCTTATCCGCGGAAATCGCCTGTTCCATATCCTCAGTCTCCTTCCCCAAATTTGTCAGCCATGGAGAAAGGAACAAATTCTCCGACCTCGGTCTTATCAGCATTTGCTTCAGAGGATCAAATCAATCGATACTCCTCGCCTAACTCGTGTACCAGTGACATCCAATCCATTGGTGGAAAGAAGGACTACCCAACATCCAAGCAATCCCTCAAAGAGGATGCTGCCTTTGGTTCAACACCTGTGTCAAGCATTACGCTTTTCGGGAAGATTGTCCTTGTTGTGGAATCTCACAAACCATCATCTTGCAGAGATGACGATGATCTTAAATCAATAGATCAAGAGAATCAGTACTCAGGGATCAAGAAATGTACCTTGCAAATTGATTCTAGGCATGTCGACACTGATTTTTCTCTTGGGGGTTGGGAATCATCTTGTTCCGGTTCAAATGCGTTTGGCTCGGTCACAGAAGTATCAGAGAACTTGGAGAAGAATGAAGAGCCGTGGAAACGGTTAAGCTCATTAGAAAAACAAGAATCCTGTTATCCTGCAAATGGGTTTAGGCCATATAAGAGATGCTTATCAGAAAGAGAAGTAACATCATCATTATCCTTGGTAGCTTCAGAAGAACAGAGCAACCAAAGAAGAGCACGTGTATGCTCGTAGCATAAGTACATGCCCTCTTTGTACATTTGCTTAAAAAGCCACAGTTTTTAGAATTATGTTTGATGATCCAGGAACCTTGTTTCGCCATTGTTGGGAAACTCAGAGAACAACACTCGACGAACCAAATACAAAAGCGAATCCAAATGGAGATGTGATTTTACTTGTAATGAAGTTTCGTCTGCTGTCTCACATTAGAAGTAGACAGTTCCTTTTTTTCTTCATAAACAAGTGTATTTTGACCACCTAGTTGTAACTCTGTTTCAAGCTTAAGTTTTGTTCATCAAATATCAGTCTTAAGGTGTGTGTGGTAAAGAAAAAAGTGAACTTTAACTTGTAGGCCAGAAGTAACTTCTAACTCTGAAAGTTGAAACTTTGTGCAAAAATATGACCTCACTTTCTATGAAAACTATGATAAATAATGACAATAATAATTGAACAATATTCAATCAAAACAGGCCTCACTTTCTTCTATGTTTGAAAAAGTAATTCTAGTTTCTCACTCCCTGTGCTCAGGTGATGGACTGTATCACTATCACAGAAAGGAAGAAGCTAAAAAATTTCTAACAATGGCGTATGTTAGATGTCTTATTAGTTTAGAAACGCCCATCCAAAAACTTCTCTATGGCTACGGAGAAAGCTGCAAAGCCAGCACAACCTATACACGCAGCTTTTGGCCCACCTGAAACAAAATGAATCCATCAATCCCTAGTAACACAATGGATCATGAAAGCACATTGCAACGAGGTTTAAATTACTTCAACCAAATTAAAAAAATATGAGAAGCTAAAGCACCAACTAGACTTCAGTTTGCGAATCAGGCCACTGCAATAACATTTAAAGTCCACAGAAAGAAAATGATAGAGATTACCTCGGGCAGACATTGCACCACCAGTCACACATCCAGCAACAGCGGAGTTTGTTATGTCATGCTTTGCTCTTGCCTTTTTAAGAGAAGTAAACCGACAACAATAAGGATTTGAAGTTATGATCAGGAGTTAGTTGTGGAATTTCCTTTGTTTTGTGTGGGTCAATAATATCGTTACCTTCTCGACAACGCATTCTGCTGCGGAGAAAACCAGACCCATAACCGCAAACATCTTACAAGAACCCCAACTCCTTTGCCCCATTTGTTTTGCTGTGAACACAAACTGCTGCCTAGCAGTCATCGTATCTTGCATTATAGGATTATCCAATGCTCCCAAGAACAAACCCATCATCAGACCAAGCCCTCCTCCTACACACAATTCACAGAGAATGTGTACAAATCAATAGAATATCCTCACATGCCAATTTCTTAATCTGAAACTCGAGAACAAATCTATTACCGACGAGCGAGCAAAATATTAGTTAGCTTTTACAGTCAGAAATGCACATTAGATTCGATTCGATATCTTCACAGTTCACATCAACAATTAATTTAACCAAATCCGGCTAAAGATCCATTAACTAAGTCAGAATCATATTCACTATTACAAAGCTAAACACTTTCTCCAATTCTAAAGAATGTATAACCAATTTCAGCATCCACACATTAAACATATGCCTAGAGCTTTTTGTATTTCCGCTGAACTAATAACTTAGATTCCGTTTAATCAAGGAATTTTCGAAATCCGACAGTGCTAAACATGAACTCGCTAATAACTATTTTTCATTCATAATCAAAGATTCAAAAATGAGTCAAAAATCATGAGCAATGAAGCAATATAGATCGAAAAGGAGAGAGATTGGAACAGACCCATGACTCCACTAGCTACACTTTTAACGGCGCAGTTGTTCCAAAGCTCTTGCGCTCGGATCTCCTCCATGGTTGGCATCCGGATCGGCTGAATCTGGGTAACGTTCCCATCAGAACCCACTGAGCCCGAAGAACCACCGGTCGGTTCTGCACTCGAATCCGCCATTTTCAAAGGTACAGTGAGCAAAATCCGACAGGAAGATATGTCATAAAACCTTAAAAGAAAGGATTGTACGAAACAGATCAAGCCTTCGCGATTCGCGCGCCTCAAAGATAAAACAAATCAGGGTTTATCGAGATCCTAGGGTTTAAGCCACAACTATGACAAACAAACAAAAAATCTACCTTTCTAGGCCCATATGTATATTAATGGGCCTGTATATATACATACTAAATTGGGCCTCAATCTTCAACTAAGGTTATCAAATTGGATTTTCAAAGAATGATTCTGCATTAAAATCTAATGGAATTGCGGAATGATAAGGTCACTGAAATGAAACCAAACATAATGATTTAAGTTAAGTAAACGTTTTATTTAAGGAACCTGTCTAACATTTTATTCACAATCAAAGAATGAATGGAATCATCAGAATACAAATTAATGAATAAAATTAGAAGACTAAAGTTGACTTTCCACCTTCGAACAATCAAAACTTTTTCACAACTCTCA